TATTACATCTTATATAACATACTAATACACGTTAAAGTAAAGTATGTACTCAAATTTTTGAATGCAGCTTTTATTAAACATTTTGAATTAAGTATTTGACGTTGTAAAAATTTTTGCAGTTTACAATTTGGATCATAAAACTTTGCAGTTTACATTTTGCTTCCAATTTGAATAAAGATATTAAAGGCAAAAAATATAGTATATACTTGTATAACATGTATATAGGGATATGCAATCCAGTTACTTTATGGTATTCATGAATACTCGTTACTTCACTAATTAATACCTGTTACTTTTTACTCGTTACTAGTTGCTCCTACAAATTTTTTTTAAGGCTCTATAATAATAAAACTATGTATCTTGGGAAACAAAAGTCGGACCCACATAATTTAAAAATCGTATTCTTTGATTTTAATAATGAACATCGATTTGCGAAAAAAAAATTTGAAAGTAAAGCCACTTAACTTTGCGCAAAATATACGGTCCAAAAAAAATTCTGCCACCTTTTGGTACTTTTTTAATTCTTTATTGCTTTTTTTTTCGCTTTTATAACAGGATAAGGAAGTACGTTTTTTGAATTAAGCCAATACGAATTATGGTTCTCAAGACATCAAAACGTCTTTAATAAGAGCACATGGAAGTTCTTTGTCAAAATTCAGTAATACGTTTTTTGAATAATAACTGTAATTTTAATGTGACATTAACGCTATTTCAACAAAATTTTTAATTTTTACACTTCCATTTGGATACATTATTAATAGATAGTATTTAAATTTTAAAAGAATGTACTTAATTAACATCACAATGCAATAACCGCTTCTATACAACAACAACGGCACTTAAATCAATTCTAATACGAATCTGTCACATTTTGATTATCCCATTATCTATATGTAACAAAAATAATACTAGTTAATATTAGATATTTAATGTGATAATAATTAAAGATTATATGCAAGTAATGATTAATAAGTATTTTTGATCTACGAGAAGCCAGTTACATCGAATCTTTGAAGTATAATGACTATTGAAATAACGAGTAGTTAGTATTCATATAATCATTAATGGCATAGGTATAATACAAATAAAATATTATGTATAAATATGCAAATTTACCGGCATTTACCAATATTATCAATAAAATTTAATTCCAAATTTCACTTGTAATTTTAATTCACTTGGTAATACTTTTATTATTTATAAAAAATTTTTTTTTTTTTAGTTTTCTATTTAGTTTTTGGTTTTTCTCTACTCTATAATAATCTATCCAATCTATTTCACTCGCACTTTACCATAAAAACAATAATAATAAGAATAAGAAAATCAAAAAAAAAACGAAAAACAAACAAATAAAAATTAATTATGGCGCTGATGGTGGAAGTAAATATTTCCTGATAATAAATATTTTAAATCAGGTAGACTTTTGAAATCAATTAAGATTTTTAATTTTTATCACAACAATAATATTATTCGCAATATATGTACATACATATGTATATAAATTAGATATTGTTATATAAACATATGTATGAATAGTTAGATATGAATATGTAAGTAAGTATGTATGATTAATTTTATCTCTTATTACACTAATTTAATTGCATATTATGTGTATAAGTAAGTATGTATGTATATATATATCCATCATAAACCAATTATCTACCAACAGTGGGTTATTATCAATGACCAAAATGCATTTAGGTATATATGAAGGTGTACCTTGCATTTGCTTTTCAATTATTTATTATATAAAATTGTTTTTGACACACCAATGTACAAATTAAATATCAGAAATTTATTTTATTATTTACTTATAAATTTCTTATTTATTTTTTTTATATACATATATATAAGTATGTAATTATTTGTGTATTTTAAACGTCATTCACAACACAATAGAAATTTTTTTTATATTTATCATTTTAATTTAATTTAGTTATAATTTTTATATTAAATAGATATAAGAATCTTAAAAGTATTGCTCTCTATATTAACAAAATACCACAGTTTTATTTTTTTCTTGTTATATGATAAATTGAGATTGTTATACAATATAATTTTTTGTTCTATTATTTGATAGAAAAAGAAGACAAACAAAAAAATATACAAATTTTCCGGGGTTTATCGTTCTTTCTATAATTTTTTTATTTTATATTTTGTTTTTTTCTTTTTATTTTATATTTTTTTATTCCATATCACCATATTATTATTATTAGTTTTATTTCTATTTGATTTAGGTACAATAATAACAATAATAATAATAATAGAGAAAAACCACTATTATAGCATAATAAAACCTTCTAAATAAAAATATTTGAGCAAAATTTATATATATGTATTATAAACATTTATATGTTTGTATACATAGTTTGTATTTTACATATTCATACATATATATAGCTATATATTTTGTCAAAAATTTTGTTATTGTACAAATTCTCATTCGTACTCAATTCTGATTGTAGTCTTATTATTATTGTTACTTACTATTGCTGTTCTTGTTATTATTTTTTATTTTGACAGACGCATACATTTCCCAAAATGTTTTGATATTTTCCTATTATATCGAATTTATGCAATACAAATTTTCATTGTTTCATTATGGAAGAATTTAAGCACATTATTTTGTAGATACTTTTACAAATAAAATAAAATTTAATGAAAATAATAATATTAAATTGAATGTGATTTTTAAATTGTATTTTTTAAAGTACATACATTCATACAATTTAATACCATTATAAAAATATTGTACTTAATTTTAAATTTATGCAAACAAATACAATGCACGAACATCATATGCCATACATACACCTACATATATTATATTATTATTGTGTATAGTAAAAAACAAGAAGAAAAAAAAAGGAGAAGGAGAACAAAAAAAAAACTCCACACATTAATATGAAAATAATGTGCCCAAGTTGGTATACATATATTTAATATACATTGTATAGGTATATATAGCATATACATACAAACAAACAAACAATATTATTATTGAGAAATAATAAAAAAAAATATAAAATAAAATATTTTACACATTTATAGTATAAATTGAGATTTTCCGGTAGCTGAACTGAACTATAAAAGCATTTCTCTAATTAAAAAAAAGAAAACAAAATAAAAATAAAAGAGAAAATAAAAAGAGATCTGCTGGTTTGAGTTGCGAGCAATTTTGTTTTTTTTTTTTTTTTTTGTTGCAATTTTTCTTCTTGTTCCGGGCTTCTATATATTTATTTTACAATATTTTAATTTTTAACTATTTTTATTGTACTGTACACATTTTGTAAATTGATTAATATTTTAAATTTAATTTAATCACATTGAACCACCCACTAAACCAAAACAATAAGAAGAACTTTTAACTATAATTACATATGAGCGTACATACATACATACAAACTTATATAAATTGCTGTTTCGTAATTACAAAAAAAAAAACATATTACTTTTTCACTTTCACAAAATCCGACAAAATTCACAAATTCACAAATTTATAACGGTATATAAATATTTTAATAAAATATTAAAATTCCAATTATTTTTATTTAAAATTCTATTACTCAATAAAATAAAAAAATATAAATAATTATTTTATTTTTATTCATTTATTTATTTTCACTTTTATTATTATTATTATTATATATATAGATATATAAATTTTTTTTTTATTATTTTGCGATTTAGAGAAGGAAGTTTCAGTGAACCCTTCAAAATATTTTATGCAAAAAAAAAATACATTTTTACTTATACTACAACTACATATACATACATATATGCACGTATATAAAATATTTTTATTTTAATGTTTTATTCTCATGTGTACCTACATATGTAAATATGTATATTGTTTTTGTTGTTTTCTTATATGAAAAATATTTTATTTTAATTTTTCTTTCTTTAGTATTGGTGAGCGGAAAATGTGTAAAATAAATTTTTATAATAATAAAAATAATAATAATAAATATACATGTGTTATTCCCTTTTATTTATTATTGTTTTCTTATATTTTCAGATAGCCATCTCTCAACTACATTTGTACTTACATTTTAATATAATATATCATTCTGATTACACACATACATAATTATATGAATTTATATTTAATTATACTTTATTTATGTTTCAAATATATATTTTTTTCATTTTATTATTATTATTATTGAAGGTTCTCAGAATTGACAGTTCGTACAGATTTATACACAAGTGTGTATTTGTTTTATATAGAGATTTAATGAAATAAAGTGTTTCAAATAAGATTGAAATATTTTAAATGTTGCCATTGTACATTTTTTGCCAATACAATTTTCAATTCTGTCTGTACCGAAATTCAAATAAGAAAATTTGAAAGAAACAATTGGAATTTGGGTTATGAAAATTAAGAGAAACAATTGAAACGTATACAATGGAAATGAAACATTGAAAAACGTTATTTAAGAAAAAATTTCGAAATAATTTTTAACTAAAAACCGAAATTCTTGTGACATTTTAAAACTAATTAATTCGTAATTTAATATTACTTAAGTTAATTTAGTAATTGATTAATGAAAGATGAGTAAAAAATCAATTACTAAATAGAAAATTTATTACTTCATTACTTACTTCATTTTCATTAAAGAACCCCCCTTAGGTGGGTCAAAAATTAAAAAACTAATATTGAGTGGACATACAATGGTGATTAATTGAAGGTGATATGATCTCTGGATTTCTATTTACTGTAACTCTCTTCAAATTTTTACTTATTAGTAAAAATTTAAAACGTTATTACGTTTTAAATTATGAAAAACGCTTTATTTAAGGCAAAATACTTTTCGAATCGTGATCGAAAGTCTTGATTTCTTTGAAATTTAAAATTCTTTTGGTAAAACCTCAAAATACATGTATGGGATCAGTTACATTGCGTAGAAAGATTAGCTACATGTCTAAAATTATAAGAATAATTTTAAGTTCGTTTATGCATGCGCATTATAGTTACTCATACTTATTTGAAATTAAATAAACCATTCCATTTTTTTCTGCGTTTTCTTGTTAAAAATTCATTTTTGAAAATATATTTTATTTACAAAATTTTAAAAAACATTCCAATGCCATTTTACTGTGTATTTTTTAATAGTGAAGGCATTTAATTTTTTTTCTTATATTACAATTACAGCCATTTCTACTTAACTTTAAAAAATACTATTTTTTTTTTTTCAGAAAATTTACTAATTAAATGTAGGTATTTATAAAAAATAAAATAATTTATTTAAAGCTTTCTAAGAATTTGGAAAAATTATTGGGAATGCCATGCCCATACTGGTTTTACTTTTGAAAAATTCCATTCATTTGGCTGCCCTTGATGATTTACACCATTATCATCAACTTCGGACCATTTAAATGGACGATTATGATGATATCTATGTTTTGCTATTGCTAAAATATCATTTCGAATTAATCTAGCTGGAGCTGGAATTTTTGATGGTTCAGCACTAGAAATTATTTCAATATTAAATTCATCAGAATTTTCATTAGAATAAATTTTATTTGGCTCTTCTATGGTTAATGATTCAATAGAAATATCATTGTTAAAAAATCTTGGCTTTTGTTTTGTAAATAATGGTCCAGATATTGCATTATAATCAGTGATTTCTAATACAGGATCAAATGTAAATAATTTCATATCAATATTGCCATATGGTGAAGCTTGTTCTCCAAGTAAATCACCTCGAAATGCATTTTTTCTTAAAAATTCATCAACATCTTCAAGATTAGTCATATTTGATTCGACAATTTTCATATTAGAATTATTGTTTTCAAAAGGAATTCCACTAAATAATGAAATTTCTTTAAGTTTTGGTATTCCATTACACCAAAGACTAGTCCAATTAATTGACATAGAAGTTGTTAAATCTTTTGTTTTATATTTATTTAAAACTTGTTCAGAGAGCAATATTATGTCATGTACACCTAAATCATTTAAACCATCAATTTTACTATAATTATTATTGGAATGTAATTTCTGTAATAAATTAATTTTTTTCAAATCAACACGTATCCATTGTTTTGAACCGGTAATAGAATATCTTCCTATTGATTTTTCCCAAGTTTTTCGATTTTGACCTAAACGGCTAGCTGTCATAATCCGAAATGATAATGGTATATGATAATTATTATTATTTATATCATTCCACAAACTTGGATTTTCATTGCGAATTGAAACACCACCTACAACAGAATGAACATTACGTCCTTTTATCATATAAAAATCATCAATTGAAGCTAGAATTCCTGGATATCCACTAAAACTGATATCAGTTCCTGGTACTGTATTTGTATTCCAATTAATTGGAGATACATGAAATTTAAATTTATAACGTTTTTGCATTCGTAACATTGATGAATAACTGGCAGCAGCACTATGACCCATAATAAATTTAAAATTTCCTTCAAAATCTGGGAATAATTTCACTAGCATTGATGCTCTAGCATTTGGAAAAATTTTATTTAAAGATTTTTTTCCATTCTCTAACGTTAATGTGAAATTCTCTTTTAAATCTTGAATATCAGCTGCTAAATTTAATAATAGAAAATCTGTTAGTTCAAAATCTTCTTCTAATCCAGAACGTGCTCTTTTAGCTCCTCGCTGCCAACCAAAATACATACCCTCCAATTGATATGTTAATAAATCAATTTGATGCCAATAATGATCATGACTTGCTCGTAATTTAGCTGTTTTTTTCATTTCAACATAATTTGATTCGACTGTATCACGTAACCATGTACAAAAATTTTGTGAACTTTCATCTGTATCACACGGTGATGAAATCGTACTAAAAAAAAATAAATATAATATTGGAATTGGAGAAATTCTTAATTTTGCAATTTCATTATTTTATAAAATTTATACTTACTTGGCCCAATGATGATAAATATTACTCCAAGTTAAGGTGCCCTCTAACATTCCAGCTCCAAAAGCTTGCACCCAATCTGGATACTTTTCTTCTGTTTCTATTTCTAATTGTGACCATCTATATTTGAATATAAAAATATTGAATTTTAATTTAAATTAATGTGCCGTGATTTAAATTTTTTTTTTAATATAATTTACCCATTCTGGTACATTGAATCCTTATAACAAATTCTAGCAGCACCTTTCGGAATATTATGTAAATCATTTCTTTGTTTCCAATATTCAATATTAAAACCAGTCTTTTCATTCCAAAACATTGTAGCACAATATGTTCCATCATATTTTGGTCTCTCAATTTTAGCTATAAATAATGCACATATACTTAAAAATCCAGCTGCAACTAATATAAATGTGCTTATTCTAGTTTTAATCCAAGATGCACCAACAACTTTTAAATTCGTCGACATTTTTATAAAAAATTTTTTATTGTCGTATATATTCGATAATAAACCAAATGTATATATGCAGGACAAAAGTTAAAACAACTTTTTATTAAATAAAAAATTTTACTAAATTCAATAAATTTGTTGCTAATTTTTATCTAATTTCCTTAATTTTATATAAAAATTAATTATAAAATTCTGCTATGATGCTACGAGAATGTAATTGAGGTCGGATAATCTTTCATATGAGCAAACTTTTTCCGGTTTCTCTAAGTTTTGTTGAATTCTCAACAAGAAATAAACAAAAATTTTCAATAAAATTACAGCTCGTATTTCAGCTAATCCAATTTCGGCTGCAGCAAACGCTACTACCTTCGTCGGTAAAGCATTAAGGACCACTGCGGTCATCTGAATAATTATAATATGAATTAAGCGAATTCCAAAGTTGAAGAATTTTTTCTTATTAAACTTTTCCAGATTGTATTTAATTCTTTTTCTATTATTTTTTTTTTAACTTTTTTTAAATATAAAGAAGCGCAAAAGAACTGTTTTATATTTGAAAACAAATAATTAAAGATGAAATGAAAAAATAGAAAAACGCTGTCTTCAAAAATAATTCTCAATCGAATAGCGTCCGTTTTCAACACAGAAATTTTTCCCTGTAAAAAGAAAATAAAATTATTTTAATTATTAATTACACATTTTTTATAAAATTATAAAAATTATTTAATTTAATTATAGGTTTAGTTAATTTAATAGTTAGGGATTTAAATTGAAAATCAGGAATATAAGAACTTCGAAAAATCATACTTATAATGACAACTCAAAAGTGCCGAACAGAAAATTTCACCGATTTCGAACAAATCAGATCAACCCATATAGAAAACATATTTAGATCAATACAATTAGTTTTTCGTCATACTCTCTAAATATTTTGAATTTCGCCACATCATTTCACTTTTAATAATCTAAAAAATTAAAATATCTTAAACGTCATGTTAAGTATAAATAAAATGTGTGATTGGCTTAACACTTTCTTTCCCTTCTGTTCAAATAATAATAATTTTTGTTCCAATTAATTTTTGAAATGCAAACAAATGTCATCTACATAACTTCATTTGTAGTATTTAATTTTGATATATTTACATTATATATATTATGTATTATATAATATATAATAGTATGTATTAATTTGAACTCTAAAACAATAAAAGTTCATTTAAAATATTTCAAATATATAAAACACATTAATGTATACATTAAATGGTAAAGTGTTAATTTTTTAAATAAAAGGCAATCGGTTTACATAACATAAAGTTACAGTAAAACCTGTTATAGTCTCACCGTAAGGCGGAAACCTGTCATTTCACAAAAAACAAATGCTAATATACTGTTTCTGAAAAAGTCTCTGCTACTGTAAAGATAGAAAGCTTTCAAACTCGAAAAACGTAAAAGTCTAGATTCTGTTTAAGCCATCCCGCCAAACCTGTCTCTTGTGATTCCGCCTCTGACAGGTTTCACTATATTTCTAAGCATTTAACTAGTTTCTAATTACTTTTCAACATTAATTAAAGGATCATGTTTTAATTCTGTTCATTGTTTCACTTTTCTGTACGCATATACTTACATATATAATTAGTACATACGTATGTACATATACGTATGTGTTTGATTAAAATAAATGGAAAACACTTGTTCAAATTTATTTTACTGATTGCTACTGCCAACAATAAAACTCCGTATATTTAAACACTTTATGTTAAACAATATTTTATGTCGAAATACAAAAATAAAAATAAAATGCATAATATCAGTTATAAAATGTTTTTTTTAAGCTCTTGACATTTAATATTTTTAAATTTTAATTATTAATTTTATTTTTTTCCTTAATAATAAAAAAATGTAAAATATTTAAACTTTTGAAGTTATATTTTAATGAATATGAAGAATATACCAGTCTTGCCATTCAAAGTATAATATTTTTTGACATATGACAAGAAATTGGCATGATTGTTAACAATAGCTAACCTTCAAATCAAGCAATATTATTATGAGTTCACCTACCACTACAACGTACAATAAGTCTGACTATGAGCAAAATATTTTCATTTCATACTAAAGAATGAACGCAGTTATTGCACATTATTTATGCAATGTCATAGGAAAATCAGACCAAAAGAATTTAATGCTAATTTATTCTAGATCTTTTTGTAACATTATGGATATTAGCGAGTATTACCAATAGAGACTTTCTTGTCTATGTTCATGAATTTTATTAACAAGAATAAACATAAAATTATTAACATTTATAAAGTAAATACTTATTATAATTACAATAAAATGTTTGTATAAAAATTTAAAATTAAAATCTAGAGTAGCAATAGTGCGATATAAGCAAATTGACGTGATTATTTTGTGGTTAATAGATTTGAAAAACCCAAAATCAAAAATTAAGTATGCACATTAAGTCATACCGAATTAATTGTATAATATCACAACCTATAGGGATTTGAACAATATTTATGACATATTACACATAATATCGAAAATTATGTTATTTGTAAAAATATGATTATATTTTAATTGCAATTATTCCGTTTTTCCTACATATTAATATTATAAGAAATAAAATTAAAATAATAAGTATTTAACTCTATATAAACAATTATATTTAATAGAAAAGCAGACGAGCATAATCACAAGTAAATTATTTAAAGTCTAAATAAGTCTAATTCCCACCCAAATCAAATAATTTAATTTATATTCTACTCTACTAATTCTCTTTTATTCAACATTTTCACCACAAAACGAAATAATTACTGCTATATATACCGTTATTAAAAATTAGTACCTGACCCCAAAAAAGTCAATACATACCAACAAAATTCTATTTGTTTCCCGTATTTTACAGTTTAAATTTTTTCCGCTTCATTATTACAGGAAATTAGTTTAAAACATTAAAAAAAATATTTGTAAAAATAAATATTTAAATAATCTTAACTATTTTTTTTTGTAATAAACAATGACATAAACATGTACTAATAATGTATACAACAATAACGTATAAAAAATTCCACTCCAAAAAATTTTAAAATCCACAATTTATTGCGTGAATTTTTATAAACCCTCTAAGTCAGAACTACAAATAGCAATTTTGAATAAAAAAAACAAGTTTTGTTCGAAAAAAATTTGAAAACTCTAACAAAAGTAACAATAATTTGTTAAAATCTGGTTATTATTTTTATTTTACAATTCCATTTTCCAACATTTTCTTGTTTAATAAAGTTTTTTTAATAAAATTTCGAACTAATTCAATTCCACTCGATTTGTAATTTAAATATATAAAGAACTCAAATGTTGCAATACCACGATTTTAAGCTAGACTAATTTAATCAGTTTTGTCTCATGGGCACAGAAATAATGTTAAAAAAAATTTTTGTCACAATTTATGATCTTTACAAATCTTACCTTTTAGGTTTCAATTTTTTTTAATCACATATAACAGAAATAAAATTTTTTTCAAAAAAAAAACTTAAGAAAATTTAATAAATTCTTTCTTTTATATTATTATTCTCTTATTAAATTAATTTAATGTCAAAATAATTTAGTGAATTGAAATGTTTACAACGAATTTCATTCGCCTTTCACATTCATTTCTTAAGTTCTTAAAATTTCAGAACTTCAAATGTTTATAATTTTGTTTTTTTTTGTTGTAAAGCAATTTTTTTTTTTCTCAAATTTTAAAAGAAAATTTTGCAAAAAAATATTTTTTAATTTTATCTTATTTTATTTTATTATTCATAATTTATTATTAAAATTGATTCTTCCCTTATTTTTCCAACACAACCATTATTTATTATGTGATTTTCTGTTGTTATTTTATTAATGAACAAAACGTGAATAATTTTGTTTATAAAAATGCATAACAATGACAACACAAAAGTGTATCACAAAAAAAAAACACAAATTTATTATTTAATTTTAATTTTTTTTAAATAATATAAAATAAAATTCAAAATAAACTTGTTAACACGATCGCGTCTCTTAACAAACTGAACGATTGGGATTCACCGGAAATTCCTTAAAAGCTCTTTTAAATTTTGCTCTTGTTTTGTTTTCTTGTTGTTGTAATTTTTGTTTTTCTTTCTGTTTTTTTTTGTTTTGTTGTTTTCTCTTAATAATATTTTGAAATTATTGTATTTAAACCTGCGCGCGATCGCATTGAGTGGCGTTAGTGAAATGTGAAAAATATGTGTTTGCGATTTAAATTTTATATTATTCGGTTGTACAATAAAATTTATTTTATTTTTATATTATTAATTTCTTTATGATTCTAATATACACGAGTTCTTTTATAATATTTTAGTTTATTATTATAGTTTATGTTTATATATTTTAATATTTATTTATTTTTATTTATTTGTGTACATACATCTACCAAATATTATTATTTGATTTCTGTTATTTTGTGACGAAATTAATAATAGCAGGCAGTTTGTTTAAATCTTCAAAAAATTTGCGGAAAATATGTACTTTTTCGATTTATTGACAGTCTGTAGGCTTAATTCATCGGTCAGTCCGTTTACAAAAATTCTAGGTCAACCAAGATACAGAAGCTGAAATTGTATGCATGAAGGTTTTAAAGAATAAATCATTTTTGAGTAATAAAATTTTTATGTGCGCTCTCTTTCGCGTTACGTTACATAATGAAAATGTAAGTATATTTTGACAAAGCCATTGAAGATTATTTTAAACTAATAAAAAATTTTAAAAAGGCTGAATGACTTTTTTCTCATATACATATATTAAAATTTTCTAAACTTTCCTAAATTATTAAAACTATTTCATTCATATAGTATACGTATTAGAATTTTTTCTAAAATTATTACATTTGAAATATCTCCTAAATATATGCAAGTATTAACGAAAGTAAGAAAATCATATCTATATATAAATCAATAATAGTTTTGATTATTTAAACCTAAATCGTATGAGTTCTAGACTTGTCGGAAATGTGCTATTTGAAAATCATAAAATTGCTAGACTACATTTTTAATTTTAACATCTATGCTCTATGTCAAGTACTAATGAACTTATCTAATATAGATCATGCGGTTTTTGCGTATAATAAAGAAAATTTCGTACGTATCTACACGTATACACAAAACTTTTACTACAAAGTCATTAATTTTATGATTCATGTATACATACATGTGTATTTGTACGAGTAGTTTGTTAGATCAATTCAAACAATGGTCCATTATTGAATGATTCATTTATAATATTAATGAAAACTGTACTATGTTTGTTACGCATATAATTTGATAGTTAAGCAAGAACATTTAAGTATGCGAAATATTTTTCAATTAAATTAATGTTTACTTAAAAGCGTGTGCTGTGTGCGTTAATAGCGGCTATATAGATGATTAATTTTTGATGTTTTTTTTTATATATTTACAAATAATTTTGAACTTTGCAGTTTTTGGCGGAATATTTATACTTATTTATTTTTTCTTATTCTTATAAGATTAATAGAAATAATTAAACATTAGAAATAATTAATATAAAATGAAAATATATTTTTGTATATTCATTATAAAAAATAGAATACTTTGTAATACTTTGCGATTAATGTAATGTTTAGTCGGTTAATGTAGGT